AATATAAAAAAATTATAAAGATTAGTTAAAATTTGAATGATTTATATTAGAAATAATTATTAATTTTATATTGATATATCAATCTTTTTGCACCAGACCATATATGTTTTAAATAAGCTGGAATCTGAATTATTTAAAATTATTAATATTTGTGAATTAGAGTTTTAAATAATTGATAATTTATTTTTTATATAATAATCTAAATTCTAATTTAATTATATTAATTAGAACAATATTAATAATTATAATATTTATATATATTATAATTGAATTATATTTATAATTTATATTATAAATTAATCATTAAATCTTGATTTGAGTATTTTAGGATAAGTAATTTTTATAATATGTAGTAATAATAATAAAATTTTATAATAAATTAATTATAATGATGATTTTATTATAATTGATTTTTTTGAAAAAGTAAGAATTTTAATAAGATATGACTAAAAAGAGTAATTATAAAAGAAAAATATATATAAATGAAAAGATTCGACAACAGTATCAGATTGAATATATCAAGGAAAGTTAATATATGCTATTCAATTATATTTTCATAAACGTAGATAATTAATCTTTTGTTCAGTAATCCTTTTAGGAACTATTAAATTTTAAATCAAATTAAAATTGTTTGAATACAGTCTCAATTTGATCATGTTAATTTGAATCAGTCAATTAAACCAGTTTTAAATAAATTAACTAGATTTAGACTGGTTCAATTGATTGACAATACCGCTTAAAAATTTGAACAAAATATCAGCTTTAGATAATTGAAAATGTAGATTTTACGTTGAATCTTCAATTCAATTGGCTCGAAAACAAAAATAACGAAAAACTATACTGTTTCCAAAATAGCGTCTGATCTTCATGCTTTTTTTAAACGGTAACGGTAACGATTTTCATTGGCTAGTACATGTAGTGACAGTACATACGTAATACGTATGTAATATACTTTAAAGGAACATGCAGCATATTACGTCGTGGAATTATAAACGCGCGTCTAGTGGCACATGTGTCTCATTAAATATCTTTACACACGGTACCCAGTAACCTAGTTGTATATGATAATAAAGAATATTATCACCTTTGTTGATATAGTTACATGTCTTTCATTGTTCAAATTAAGAAGGCTTAGTTTTTTAGATATTAATGTAAAAATATATATACAGTATATATATGCCTCTTTATTTAATAGAGTCTAGAATAGAGAAACAAGGAAAAAACCTTTTCGTTGTATAAATTTCTTTTTTTCGTGATACTTATTTTTAGGTATACATTTCAAAACTGTTACAGACCCAGTTGAACAATGGGAATGATAAGTTATAACCTGTTCCTACCTTGTCCTTTATAACTTTGATCTTAAAAAGAACGATTGTTACTTTCATTGTCTACCTTTACTTAATTAGCAATTTATTTAGAAGTGCACAAATTGTTTCAAAAAAAAAAAAAATAGGAAAACACGTTTTGAAGAACTGATCAATCATATTTGTCACTTGAAAATGACAGATAGTCATATATAAGATAATAGAGACACTCACCGTTCTGCGACATATTCGGATTAGTATATGCTTTTTCTACTTTATTTGAAAATATTTTTGTTGACAATAAAAAACCTGTTAAGATTACGCCCAAACAATAACAATAGGTTTTTTTCTTTTAGTTTCATTTTTCTCCCTGTGCTTCCGCGTACAATTCTGAGCAAAATTACAACGCGTAAATACCATCTATGTATTACTGTATATTGTTCATTAAAGAGCTTACAAAAATATTCTTGTTAATTATAAATTCAGTGATCTTTATATAACCCTCAGCTGTATATGCAATTAAATATTTCATAAAGTCACATACTGTATAATCACACGCTTTTTATCAGTTCGAAATATTATGAAACATGTCTCCATACAGTCACAATCTTTTTAGAGCACAGAAGGTGAGGAGGTGACTATAAAGCTGTATATAAATACATACATACACATATATATTGTGTGTGTGTGTGTGTATGAACATTGTTTTCATTGCTCGATTTTTTGTGTAAAGGTTTTCTTCATTTATGGCGTTTCATTTAACATAACAATTCGGGAGATTAAAAGTTCCCATAATTATTTCACTAAACGTTATCTTTATAAATAAAGTTTTTCTCTTAAACATTTTGTGAAACTTTGTAACAAGCATTGTTAAAAAATTTCGTCAGAAAGGACGTGTTCAATGAGACTAAATTGCTATTTTGTTAACTTTGCAAAGACTGATTGGTTCTCGTCTAACCGCATGTGAATTTGAATGAAATAGAGATTCTTTTAAGTAGATATTAATGCCTTTGCCATTTTAAGCGAGGAACTAGCTTTTACCTTTATTAATCTCATTTTATAAAAAAAATTTTACTGTAAAGTAACTGAGCAACAGGTAATTTGAGCTTTAAACCTTAACTATATTCTCTGAAGAAATTTCCTTAATCAATATTAATTCATTGGTTCGATTTTTTGTTTCATAAGCTAAAGGCTTTTTTTCACTAGATGTAACACTTGGCTGGCTCATTTCTAATTTGAGCTTACTATATATTACATACTTTAAAGAGTGCTATAGAATAAGTCTGGTTGTTAGATATTAAAGAGAAATTAAATATTGGTTCCCATACTTACCTTATCTAATACGTAGCGATAACTATTGGTGCCGTATCCAAGAATTTGGTAGGACTAAAAATATTTCTAAATTAAGATGTACTGATATGATAATCGACTCTAAAACGTAACGGTAATTATAATCCCAAAACCTTGACTAATTTAAGGGTGTGGCGACACACTAGCAGTACTATATATGTAAATGTTGTCAAGTCAGGACCACTTTGGTTAGAATTTCTGTTATATAAATAATATAATATTATTGTAATTACATTAGAGTATTCATAAATAATTCTACACATGACATAAAAAGCCAACAAAATGCATTTTATATTAGGCGTATTAGCGAATGCTTTCCCAATTTTTGCAAGTTAACACCAAAGTAGGATACAAAAAACACAAATAATAGTCGGAATTGAATCGTATGTTCTTTGCAAGTTAACACCAAAGTGGGAATACAAAAAACGTAAATAATAGGAGTTGAATCGTATGACCAGTTCTAAGCACTAGTTATGATATCGAAGTATGTCAATAACTAATCAAAAACGGTTGATACAACACCTCTAAATGTACTTCCCTTGGGATCGTATAAAAAAAGACAGGGCATGCATTTAAGGAGGATGTGCATTTATGAAGTTTAAAATACATAGAGCTCTTATAGCTTGGACTGAGTTATATCATGTATTTCGAGAGAATCTGTTCATTTAGAGAGTGGTGCTACTGTGTTACGAGTCACTTTTGATAGAAAGTTTGAAGAATTACCAACTTTAAAGGAAGAAAATTGGGCTGAGCGCAATAGAAACGGTGTAAACTATATTAGAATTTCTAATATAATTTACACCATTTCTATTGCGCTCAGCCCAATTAATCAATCACTCGCAAAAAAAGCGGCATCTAATGCAACATTGAGATTTAATTAATCCACGTGTAGAACAATGAGATTGGATAAAGCCTCATCCCTGGCAACTCATGCCCAACGCTCTTTGTTAGCAAATCATCAGTACCGCTTAAAATACTCAAAAGTTGAAATTTAATTATTTTAGTATTATTAGCATGACAGAAGGTAACAGAGGCATGCTAAATAGTACTATAAGTTTGATCCTCTTTAGCGAATTTTTGATTTATGCTGCTTCTATTCCAATGAAGAAATGTTTTTGACAAAAGCAAATAAAAGAACACCGACACATATAAACAAAAAAGCAATAATACCCATCTCCCTTTTAATGTGTTTGATCGAGATAATATATAGTTAGAATAAATTAATAATTTTTCTAACATTTGAAAATATACCCCGTCGGTGTTACTTACGGTTTCAGCGATTTCATTGAAGATAGAGGACTTAAGGAGTGATAAACTGTGCTAACTTAGTATAACTTTGCGTGCAATTAAAGAAAAAAATATATTTAATCATATCCGATTACAGGGGTGCGCTAAGCCTGGTTTATCTTGTTATCCATGTCCAATTTCATAAGCCCGACAATCGAAATCCGAATGAACGGCATCCAAATGATCGGAATCCCGAATGAACGAAATCCCGAAAGAACGACATCCCGAATGATCGAAACCATGAACGACAACCGAATGCATAAAATCCCGAAATCGGGATAATTTTGGTATTCCATACATTTTTAGTTAACATTCCAATACAGATTTGGGCCACCGGTTTTCGTTTTTCCGGATTTCCGAGCATCCATAAGCCCGGCAAACGAAATTCCGAAAGAACGACATCCCAAATATCGAAATCCCGAATGGATCGAAATCCCGAAAGAACGCCATCCCAGATGCATGGATGGTAATTTTACATATAATCTTGTCCGCCAGCCCTAACCATTACCCTTATCTTTGACCTTATAAATCATTAAGGAGGTTTATCACATGGTGGACCAGGCTTTAGCCAACGCCCGGTTACAATATTTCAGTTATGATCGATTGATTTTATGTACTACGCCTTTAACGATAAAGTTGATCGACATTATAAAATGCCAAATTTCAGATTTATTAAGATAAAAAGATACGAATACAATAAAAATTAAGAGTCTAATAAAGAGTAAACTTTATCAAAAGACAAACCAGTTGTCTACGCTCATAAAAGTAATACGAATCATATTAGAATTGGCCATTATCGATACATGACACGAAACAATGATTATACGACATGACTAGTCAACGCGAGGAATATACGAATACGAGGTAAAAAAAAAATAGTATAAAACAGAACAACAACTCTAAAGATGCAAGAACAGATTAAAGAATTAATTAAAATTAAGGGTATTATGATGTTTTTCAAAAAAATTTTATAAGCATAGTTAAGATAGAATTCGAACTAAATTCTCATTATTTTGTTCCCTTTGATTTTTTGCATGATAATTAACGAAATGAATTTAATTAAAAGGAAGTTCGGGGTGCATTAATGGGTATGCATGAGCACAATTGTCGTAAATTTTTCTTTAAATTATGATTGCAGCATTGCATATAACCACGTGGCAAGGTATTCTTCGGTAAAATTCTCGTAAATGCCGAACGGTGATTTGAAAGTAGGGCATTGCTTAATACGTTACTTATAGAAGGAAGTGGATCTGGTGTTTGAATCACACTATTTGAAACTAGAAATTCAATTGACATAACATCTTGTTTGTTCTCCATGTTTGCTTTAGGTTCAAATGATGAAGGACGATTAGCGTGTTTATATTCTTCAATATCTATGATTATTGATTTTCTTTGTGGTTTTTCGATTCTTTTCTTTTTTCTTAGGCTTATGGCATTACCGGAACTGGTTGCATCGAACGCACGCGAATTTTCAATAATTGCTTGAACATGTGACATTCGTAATAATCGATTTCGAAATTTTCCACTAGTTGTAAATTCTTTTCTTTTGCGTAATGAAAAAGCAGAGGTTTTACTTTGTGTAACTTTTTCTCGGTTTGTTAATGTTGGAAGCCATACAAGCGGTAATGGAGGTTCAATGAAAGCTTTATCCTCAGAAATTAATGAGTCGGTAATTGCGAAATTAATTTGTCGGAATAGATATCTCTTAGAATTTGAGGCGTCTCTTTGTTCGGGTGGCATGTTTTTTGCAATTTGCAAATCATCAATTAAAGTCACAAGATTTTTATAAATACGTTTAACCTTCGAAGCTTCGCGGGAATGATCTTCTCCGGTCAGCATGCTGCGCATAATTTCGAGAGGTTTTTCAGCACTTGTCAGTTGATTACAGTAATCAAATATTATGCCAGCATCCAAGCCTTTTAGCAAATTTAAACGTTGAATTAGAACGGTTTCACGAGTTACGATCTCGTTGATTTCCGAGTCTTTGATCCCATCTTGTAAATAGCATTTCAGTTGAATTCGATATAATAGCCTTGAACAAATTAAAATAAGTGAATAATCATATCGTTTCTTAGAAATTTGATCTATGTCAATCAATCCCTGAATTTCGCGTCTTGTAAGTTGATATGACGACCTTGACATTATGAGGACAAGTACATATACGAATATTGATATTATATCTCGAGAACTGAAAGCATTGCTTGATGGATGGATTTTTTCAATCAATGACTAAATAATACTCTCTTTATATATTTATTATTGCTATTATTGTTTGTGAAAATATATAGAAATTAAACGCATTGAATAAAGTAAATTTATATGTAAATTGGCGAAAAAATATCTATTATTCTCCAAATATGTGATTGTTAATTGTATGCCATCTCTCATTAGTGAGTCATGGGTTATGTATTTTGTGTGTGGAAGCCAAAAATGGGCACAAAGCATTTTTGTCTCTGTTTTTTGCTTTGATAATAACTGCCTTATGTTTATTTGCTACTTGGCTGTTATTTTCAGAAATATTTAGACACTCAGTGAAGCTAAATGCTTCATGTGAAGAAAGAGGTAATAATGAATTTTATGTGGTCTTTGTGAAATTTGACAAAAACAGAGTTAACAATAAACATGAATTTATGGACTTCAAATTCGAACAATTGAAGCACAATTGTCCAAAACAAGAACAAAAACTAGTAATTATTTTAAATGCGAAAACCCGAGAATATACATCACTGTTAATAAATTATTTGATTTAAAGAGATGGCATTCCGAATATAAGGACACTTGGTTACAATTTTTTGGAAATAATAGTTTGTTGATTTATTTTTGCCTTTGTGCATTTTGTCCCAGTTTATATTGCATGATACAATAAGAAATTACGTGTGTGCCTTTTGAATTTGTAAAACATAGAATTGAAATTGAATGCTACTTTTAGATTTCGAATCTGGTTTAACAGGAAACTTCTTGTTTCTTGCAAGTTGGAAATAATAAGCGTTTGAAAAGGATGATAGCATTTATCGTTAATTTTCACGATCACGAGTTCGAATTCGGGAAGAAGCTTGCTTCTTCAATAATAAAATCGATCTTGATTGTTACAGTTTGTTTTAACTCGGTAAACTCAACTCCTAGGCCATATATAGTTATGATACTTTAGATTGATTATACTTATTTACGTGAAGGAATTCTTTATTTAAAAATAATTGACGCCCAAAAAAAGCTTATAATCAAAAAATATTTCAAAATTCAATAAATCGATAAAATTTT